AGAGCATAAGCTTTCGTGGACTACAGCCCACTTCTTCGGCTGTAGTCCACGAAAGCTTATGCTCTAATAAATTTGTTAGTCTCTAAGGTGCCACAAGTCCTCCTGTTCTTCTTTTTGCTGATACAGACTAACACGGCTGCTACTCTGAAACCTTTGTTTTTCTTGTTGACGCGGTCTGCTCCGCTAGGCCAGCGGAGATCTGACCGGGCCCTGTCCGGGGGAGGGGGCCTGGCCTGGGCCAAAGTCCCCTCTCCTGGCAGCAGCTGGACACAGGCCGGTATTAGGGTTGCCAACCCTCCGGGTTTGGCCGGGAGTCTCCGGGAATTAAAGATTAAATCATCGGATTAAATCTCCCGGAAAACCGCCAACCAAAACCGGCCACGCCAGCCGGCACGTCCCGCCCACGCGCCACAGGCGGAGAACACCGGGGGGCTGCTGGGCCGAGCCCGGGGGCTCAGGGCCCGGGCAGAGCTGCGGTCCCCGCCTCAGCCCCAACAGGCTCGGCCGGGAACTGCGCTCATCCTGCGGGGCCGCGAGTCCCGGGCCCAGAGCCGGGAACCCCCAGAGATTCCCCGGGCGGGGGGTTAAAAACAAGCCCCACGCGCAGGGTCCCCGGCTGCGGCGAGCCCGCCCTCCCCGCGAGGGGCGTGACACACTCACCGGGCCGCCGCGCGCCGGGTCTGCCTGTCACCCCCCAGAGAGGGCTTCTCGGGCCCCCCACCAGCAAACCGACGCTCCCGTCCCTCCCCCCCCCGCACTTCCGCCACCTCTTCCGAGGCACTTCCGGGTTACTCACGGTCGCGCGCGCATGCGCGGGGGTGGGGCTTCGGTTGCCAGGAAGCGGCTTGGGCAGAGAAGGCGTCTCGCTGAGTTTACGCTGCACCCGAGCCCGGAGGCGGAGGGGACGGTGCCATGGTGAGTGCGGGACAACGGCCCCCGGGGGGCTCTAATCGGGATGGACGTTACAACCCTCCCCCCCCTTCTTCCTGCAGCATGGTCCGCCCCGACCCCATGGAGCGGGGGAGTCCACTGCCCCTGCGGTCCCGCTCCCCCCAGGCACCGCCGCTGATGGGGCAGGTGGGGGGCTGGCTCCGCTCCCTGGCAGGGCTGGGACCCGGCTGGGCGGCGGCGGCGCGGGGGGTGTCTCTGCCCTGGGGAGCGGCCGGGCTGCTTGTCACGGGCGGCTGGTCCTCGCGCGCCCTGCGACTCCCGGATTTTTGGCGCATCCTCCCTTGCCGTAGCGCCCAGCAGCGGCCCCCGGCCCCGTGGTGCGAGGCGCTGTACAAACTCACGGCAGAAGGAGGCGCCGGCCCCAGACCGATGACCCTGTGGCCGAGCCCCCTTCTCCCTCTGCCTGGCAGCAGACAAGGGGTGAGGGGCCCCGGCGGGGTGTTGGCAGCAGAACCAGCCCATTGCAAACCAGTCCCCGGGGGCGGGGTCATGTGGCTAGTGGGTACTGGGCAGGCCCCACCCCTGTCTCCATTCTTCCACCACCTTGGGTGAAGCAGGAGCCTTGGCATCCAGCCCCGGCTTGAGCTTTGGTTTGCCACCTCTCAAGCATCCTCTTCCAAGGCAGAAGAGTTGTGTTGTGACATCGAGTGCATCTGCACTGGTAAAGTTAGTACCCGTAGTTCAATAATTGCCAGCCACCAGGCAGCTGTCCCTGCGTTAAGCTGTTAGCGTGGCATGGTAGTAAAAATGCTCCAACCCTTTCTACAGCAGAGTTGACATTCTTGCTATGACTGTGGTTGCTGCACAATTGGTGTCAGTTGCTCTAATACAGGGGTGGGCAAACTATGGCCCGCAGGCCGCATCTGGCCTTTTAATCTGGCCCTCGAACTCCCGCTGGGGAGCGGGGTTGGGAACCTTCCCTGCTTCAGTGCTCCAGCCAGAGAGCAGGGGCGGGGGCTTGCCTTGCTCCACTCCAGGTGGCTCCCGGAAGCAGGAGCAGCCAGGAGGCTCTGCACACTGCCCCCGCCCCAAGCGCCAGCTCCCATTGGCTGGAACCTCGGCCAATGGGTGCTGCGGTGGCGGTGCCTGCAGATGGGGCAGCCTGCAGAGCGGCGTGGCCCTGCCTCCGGAGGTGTGCTTCAGATAAGCACCGCCTGGATCCTGCCCCCCTGAGCTCCCCCCCCCAAACCCTGATCACCCCCAAAACCCTTTGATCCCAGTCTGGAGCACTTTCCTGCACCTCAAACTCTTCATCCCCCAACCCCACCCCAGAGTCTGCACCTCCAGCCAGAGCCCTCATCCCCCCCCCATGTGCCCCAATCCCCTGTCCCAGCCGGCCCTCCATACAATTTCCATACCAAGATGTGGCCAAAAAGTTTGCCCACCCTTGCTCTAATATGAGCGCTGATTTTCCTGGTGTTGACAAAGTAATTGAGGCCCAATTTTAGCCTTTAGAATATGTGGTGTTGGGTATGCTACAAAATAAAGAAGAGGAGAAAGCAAGAAATAGTATGGATTTAGGGGACCAATTTAATCCTGGAATGGGTTACCTAGGCAGGTGGTGGAATCTCCTTCCTTAGAGGTTTTTACGGTGCCCTTGATGGGACAGGGTCAGCTCTAACTTTTTTGCCGCACCAGGCAAAAAAGAAGAGCGCCGCCCTGCCGTACCCCCCCCACGAGTGCCCCGAAGCCCCGCCCCCTCCAAGCGCCGCGCTGCCTTAAGCCCCGCCCCCCCAAGCGCCGCGCTGCCCAAAACCCCCACCCCCCCCTGAGTGCCGCACCGCGCCAGCCCCCGCCTCCCCAAGACCTCGCCCCCCTTCCGAGCTCCGCGCTGCCCGAAGCCCCGCCCCTTCAGAGTACCATGCCACCCGAAGCCCCGCCCCTCTGAGCACCACGCCGCCCGAAGCCCCCGCTCCCCCTCCGAGTGCTGCGCTGCCAAATACAAAAAAATAAAAATAAAAAATCGAGTGCCGCCCTGCCCCAAGCCTGCACGTGCTTGGTCGTCTGGTGCCTGGAGCCGGCCCTGGGCTGGATGATTTAGTTGGGAATTGGTCTTGCTTTGAGCAGGGTGTTGGACTAGATGACCTCCTGAGGTCCCTTCCAACCCTGATATTCTATGATTCTATGGTGTAACTCCACTGAGATCTGTTATTTCTATTGCTAATCTTGGATTTCATAAAAAGAACAGGAGTACTTGTGGCACCTTAGAGACAAACCCCTTTATTTGAGCATAAGCTTTCGTGGGCTACACTGTAAGAGGCCAATCAATTGAGATGAGCTATCATCAGCAGGAGAGAGAAAAAAACCTTTGAAGTGATAATCGAGATGACCCATAGAAGGTGTGAGGATATTTTAACATATTTTAACATGAGGAAATAGATTCAATTAGTGTAATGACCCAACCATTCCCAGTCTCTGTTCAAACCTAAGTTAATTGTATCTAATTTGCATATTAATTCAAGTTCAGCAGTCTCTCTTTGGAGTCTGTTTTTGAAGCTTTTTTGTTGCAAAATTGCCACCTTCAGGTTTGTCACTGAGTGGTTAGAGAGATTGAAGTGTTCTCCCACTGGTTTTTGAATGTTATGATTTCTGATGTCAGATTTGTGTCCATTTATTCTTTTGCGTAGAGACTGTCCGGTTTGGCCAATATATATGGCAGAGGGGCATTGCTGGCACATGATGGCATATATCACGTTGGTAGATGTGCAGGTGAATGAGCGACACCATCATAGGGCCTAATCACATCAGCCACGCCATCAGGGGCTCATTCACCGGTACATCTACCAACGTGATATATGCCATCATGTGCCTCTTACAGTTGGTATGGCTACTTCCACCTTTTCATGTTCTCTGTATGTATAAATATCTTTTTTCTGTGTGTTCCATTCTATGCATCCGATGAAGTAGGCTGTAGCCCACGAAAGCTTATGCCCAAATAAATTCGTTAGTCTCTAAGGTGCCACAAGTACTCCTGTTCTTTTTGCGGATACAGACTAATACGGCTGCTACTCTGAAACTTGGATTTCATAGATTCCAAGGCCATTGTGATCATCTAGTCAGACCTTCTGTATACCTTGCTCCATGACCTTAGACAAATTGCTTCCTCTTCTCTGTGGCTAATTTTTCCATTGGTCTTTCTTACCTACCTCCCAGGGATGTTGTGAGGCTTAATCTATTAATGGTTATAAATTATGTTTAAACTGTCCAATAAATGGTGCTAGGAAATTGCAAAATATTATTGGGTACCTAACTGGGTAAGTTTCTTGGGGTTGTGAGCAGACCTGTTGTTAATGCTTTATTGGCCTTTTAATGCAGGGGTGACCTTAAGCACAAGTAGTTGGAGTTCCATACAGAAACTCAAGAGACAGTGCAAACCCCTCTCCAAGGTGGAGTCAATTAATGGATTAAAAAAAAGAAACTATTACACTTTGATTCCATTAGTGCCTGGCTCATGCTTAATAATGCAAACAAAACTATAGAATGCTTTTTGAGGGACTTTGATGAAGAAGCATCTGAAGATTATAAAATGCTGAATCTCACTGTCTAAAAAGGAACACAAGACTGATACTGATAAGAAACTTTAGACCCAATTTTGTCCTATTTATGTCAATGAGAGCCCTGTTTATGTATCCTAGGGCATAATTTGGCCTTTAAACCTACTTAAAACAGCTCAAATTTCTCTTGTGGTCCCCCATCCTAGTCAGAAGCTTTGTTTATAAACTAAAATTCAGAACATAATGTAGGATCAGTTTTCCCCACTTCAGTAGCACAGTCATTGTCAGTCTTCAAATCTTGATATTCTATTGGATCATCCCAGGAGAAACATGAATAAATAAATTGTGTCCGCAACAGTCCTGTTGCACCAATCAACATAGAAAGTATTTTAGTGAAACCCACCCTTTTGTAGCAATCTGTAATTGTTATGATTGTGGTGTGCTTCCAAGCATCCCTTTATTTGTAAGGTGGAATCAGGTACACACAAATTGTTTTTAAGAAACATGTTGCTTTTTTTACTGTTTCCTGTAACAAAAGACCAGTTTCTCACTGCAGTCCGTATTTGTTCCGAGAAGCAGAGTTACTCTGTTGACATCGTAATGCTTATGAGCAAGGCCCTTGTATTATGTGCGACATTAACCCTAGATTTTGTGTCAAGTTATATGGGAGAACGGCACTGAATTCTGTGGAATTATGTGACAATGTTAATTGATTACAAAACAATTTTGTTAAATTGTGTGACTGCTAAAATGAAGGAGTCATGGGATAGGCAGTGGCAGAAGGAGGTAGAGCGCTGTATGGGGGGACAAGGAGGAAAGAGGCTCCTAAGCAGTGCCAGTGCAGAGTTGTACTCTTGTGAGTCTTAGAAGATGTACAGCAGGGGAGATGTCTGTCATGCTGAGCTCCTAAACTCTATGGGAGAAGAGTTTAATAGCTATGCATCTGAGAAAGGAGCCTGCTGTGGTGAACTCCTAATCCCTCTATGAGCAGAACTCCACTGTGTAGAAGGAGGGATATTCTAATGCAGGGGTAAGCAACCTATGGCACGCAAGCTGATTTTCAGTGGTACTCACACTGCCTGGGTCCTGGCCACCGGTCTGGGGGGCTCTGCATTTTAATTTAATTTTACATGAAGCTTCTTAAACATTTTTAAAACCTTATTTACTTTACATACAACAATAGTTTAGTTATATATTATAGACTTATAGAAAGAGACCTTCTAAAAATGTTCAAATGTATTACTGGCACGTGAAACCTTAAATTAGAGTGACTAAATGAAGACTCGGCACACCACTTCTGAAAGGTTGCCGACCCCTGTTCTAATGGTTAGGACACTGAGCTAGTGGTTCAGTTCTCCGCTCAATCAGATTTCCTGTGCAACCTTGGGCCAAGGCGCTTAATTTACTCTGTACCTCAGTTCCCCATCTATACATTGGGGATAATACTTCCCTATCTTGGTGGGGTGTTGT